GTTTATTTTACAAAAAAAAAAGAATAAGGACTAAATGTGTACATTTCAAAAAGTATCTTACCCTATTAAATCATTATCCCTTTACTAAACTCTATGTTCTAATTTGTTACAAGACCCGACCCGAGTATTTTCACCTATAAAACCAAGTATGCTTTTTTAAAAAGCGACTAAAATGGGGACAAATTAAGGTGGGGTTGGGGGTTTAGCTTAGGATTGGGTGGAAGACGGAAAATTGGTTGGATTTTAGATCCCTTCTGACCCTATCAACAGCTGTCCACCATTGTTTGCTTACCCAACTCCCCCTACCACCCAATCACACCCTTTTTTCTTTCTATTAAATTCTACCCTTTTAATTATTAAAATAAATTCCACTAAAAACCCTACACCAACTACAGCAGTACAAAACTTGGAATTTTGAATATTGGATTCCTTTCTCATAAACTTTGTTAAATTACAATTTGAGACATAAACTATACTCCAGTTTAACTTTATTGCATTATGCTCTTTTTTTATTCATATGGTTCTTTTCTTTCCAATACGTGTTTAAATTTTATGGTTAGGTCATGAATAAAATTTGTTATAATGTTATATGTGGTCCTTTCTATCATTAGAAAACAAGTATCTTTTAAACGGATAATGACTTGATAAGGTAAGATACTTTTTGAAATGTACATATTTAGTCCTTATTCTTTTTTTTGTAAAATAAACCCTTACACTTTATTAATATGTACACATTAGGTCCTTTTCACCGGATTCTACAGGTTTTACTGACGTGGAAGGGTTTATTTTACAAAAAAAAAGAATAAGGACTAAATGTGTACATTTCAAAAAGTATCTTACCTTATCAAGTCATTTTCCCTTTCTTTTATTTTGTTGAAATGAAATACCCATNTTCAAAAAGTATCTTACCCTATCAAGTCATTTTCCCTTTCTTTTATTTTGTTGAAATGAAATACTCAGGTGACATCCACATATCCATAACGAGATTTTTCCAACTTTTATTCATCATGAAAAAGAGGGAGAACCCCGATCTCCGGCGACTCCTTTGTGTGTTCCTACACATCACTGGCAGCAAGGAGGAATGATGGCAAAAACAACAAGGTCGAAGGGGGAGGCAGGAGGAAGTAGAGACGGTAGTTGGCGGCGAGGAGCTGCTCTGGTAGCCCCCTCGTCCATTCTTTCTTCTTTTTCTGGCAACATATCTCAAAGATGGAGGCAAAGAAAGATAGATCGGAGAAACACAACAGGTAAAGGGTGTTTGGCTGTTGCTGTTCGACTGGAAGGAAGAGAGACGAGAAAGAGAAAGGTCGCCGCCCTTTTCTTGTTGCTGCAGGATCACCCACCTCCGGTGACTAAGCTAATTAATTGCTATTTAGTGCCACTTGTGCTTCCACATCAGCAAAACCTGTAGAATCCGGTGAAAAGGACCTAATGTGTACATATTAATAAAGTATAAGGGTTTATTTTACAAAAAAAAAAGAATAAGAACTAAATGTATACAATTCAAAAAGTATCTTACCCTATCAAGTCATTTTCCCTAAAAGAAAATTCGTATATGACCGGTATACCGGGTATAGCCGGTCACAAGGATTGCATTGTTACAAAAAATAAAGTACAATGGTTTATTTTACAAAAAAAAAAAGAATAAGGACTAAATGTGTACATTTCAAAAAGTATCTTACCCTATCAAGTCATTATCTTTTTAAAATAACAAATTTGATATTAGCATATGTATAACTGACTTTTATGACATGAATTTTTGACCTACATAGAACATTTATCAATCATTGTATTTTGCACTACCTTAGAAACAAACATAACATAAAAATACAAACACACACAGTTACAATTTAGTGGAAATCATACTAAAAATGACACCAAAACATTTTTAAGGAGTATATAGCTATTCTTCCAAAGTGATTACATTACAAAATGCAAAACACACCATTTTTGGTAAGAAATTAATTATATATATATATATAAATACTCATAACTTTAGTTAGCTGACTTCCAACCAATTAAAAAATTCCACATACAAATATTCCATCATAGTTATCTTATACAAGAAGAATTAGTTGACTAATTTGCCCATTAATTGAATCATATTACAAGGGAGATGTATCCATGAAATATGCAAGAGTGATTAAATTTTTGAAGGGTGTGAATTAAAAGAATGAATAGTTGATGGACATATAGTGTAAATAAAGTATATTATTTTAGATCCATTATTTTATTTTACTTTTAGGCAGATGTAATTAGATTCCATCAAATCGCTGGCATCTTGTTTGCATACGTGCACCCAGCTCATTCTTGCACGCATGTCCATGCATATATTTAATTCCATTATTCTTCTTCGTAATTTCCAGCTGTTCTCTATATCTGATAATATAGTATTGAATGTATATATACAAGCAATTTGCTTTCTGAATTTCTTAGTTTTTGCTTTCAAATTCTTGAAAAAACCCACTGATTGTGGGAAAAAGTAAAAATATTGATTTTTTGATTGATAATAACGGAAGGACTCAATGGATCCGTGTCCTTTCGTGCGATTAGTAGTCGGAAGTTTAAGTTTGAAATTTTCCGGCGGTGGCTCCGGTAATCCTCCACCGTCGAGCTGTTACTGCAAGATTAAGCTCAAGAACTTCACCACCCAGATTGCTGATGTTGCTTATTGTGCTGATAGTGATGTGAATCAAGTTACCGATCAAGTTCAGGCCTGTTTCAATTTCAAGAAATCGGAGTTTGATAAGGTCGTTGAAAAATCTAACGGATTGAAGATCGAGGTTTATTCAGGTAGAAAAGGGAACCCGATTTGTGGAATTGGGTCGGGTAAGCTTATCGGGGTTGTATCGATTGGTTTGGATTCGAAGGTGGTTGACGGCGGTAGTAGTAATAACTGGGGTGGTGTGGTGGTTCAGAACGGATGGGTGGCCGTCGGTGATCGGAACTCCAAGAAATCTGTTCAGTTGCATTTGAATGTGAGGGTGGAGCCTGACCCACGATTTGTTTTCGAGTTTGATGGTGAACCTGAGTGTAGCCCACAAGTGTTTCAAGTCAATGGGAATGTTCGTCAAGCTGTTTTTACATGCAAATTCAGTTTCAGAAACTCCGGCGACCGGAATTTGAGATCTGGGTAAGTTATCATATCGGTTTTTTTTTTCTTGTTTTCAAGGAGTTCGATGTATTTTGATTCATTATCTTACGGTTTGTTTGATTGATGTTTGAACAGATCATCAATCTCGGAAGTAAACGCCACTGGAAACTGGTTAAGATCGGTGAGAAGTGATAATGAAAAACCTGTAAAAGAGCGAAAAGGATGGTCGATTACAATCCATGATCTTTCCGGTTCACCGGTAGCCATGGCGTCAATGGTGACACCATTTGTGCCGTCACACGGAACAGACGACGTCCGCCGATCCAACCCAGGTGCTTGGCTGATCCTCCGGCCAGGTCACAACACATGGAAGCCATGGGCAAGGTTAGAAGCATGGAGGGAGTCCACCGGCGCCGACAACCTCGGCTACCGTTTCGAGTTACTACCAGACGCCGCCGTCGGCGGACTTGACCCCATCACCCTTTCAAACTCCACCATCAGTTCCAAACACGGCGGGAAATTCACCATCGACATCAGTAACGGAGCCTCGCCGATGACCACACCAAACGGCAGCTTTGACTCCGGATCCGGGTCGGGTTCCGGGTCGGATTTTTGGTCCGCGACATGGGCGCACTTAATGTACCAAGGTTTTGTGATGTCTTCAAAGGTGGCCGGTGGAGGGCGGTGTAGTAAGCCGGAGGTGGAGATTGGGTTTCAGCATGTGACATGCACGGAGGACGCGGCGGCGTTCGTGGCATTGGCGGCGGCGGTGGATCTAAGCGTGGACGCTTGCCAGCCGTTCTCAAGGAAGCTCCGGAAGGAGTTGAGACACGACGGAGAATAGTCGCCGGGGTTATTTATTAATTTGCTCATTTTTCAAGTGGGCGTGAGGATCTTTTTTTTTTAATTTATTTTATTCTAGAAACAGAGAGTGTACAGTGGATTGCTTCACGAGGTTTTAATTTTTTTTGCTTAATGAGTTTTTTTGGGTGATTAATGCATGTACAGTTGTTTACAATAATATTCATGATTTGGGATTTGATATGATATCGGATCAGCTCGTATCAAGTTTGCACATGGTTTGTAGATCTTAATACGATACATAAATGATGTTTTAAAACATATTTTTTGTACTTGAAACATATAATTCAATTCCTGATGATCATTGAATATAATTCTATATATATATTAAATCTAAAGGAAGTTAGCAATAGTAATTTTATGTCTTTAGGTTTTTGCCACAAATGTTTAGTGAATTTGACATTTTTAGTACTTAAAGTGAAAACTTTTACAATTTTGTGTTTTGATTAAGTTTTTGTGCTTTTAGGGTTTTGTCACAAATCTTTAGTAACTTTGACACTTTTCGTCCTTGCAGTAAAAATTTTTATATTTTGGTGTTTTTGCCACAAATCTTTAATGAATTTGACACTTTTCGTCCTTATAGTCAAAACTTTTACATTTTGACATAAAAACCACAAAAAACCTCCTTTAGAATTTTGCCACCATATTTTCTCAACTTTGGCAACTTTCACATTATTGCCACAACATTTTTGGATTTTCTCCACCAGTGTCCCTTCTTTTGGTTGTCGTACACTTTGTACATCTAATTTTAGGGGTTGTCGACTTTCTCTCCTATTTGCGGTGATTTACACTTTCAGCACGTATTTTTTAAAGTTTGCCGATTTTTCCCATATTACCCCAAAAGCGGCGTAGCCGCGAGTTCTTTGCTAGTTACTATAACTTGATGTTTTTGGTAGCAAATTGTCAAGGAAATTGTACAATTGTACAATAATGGTGTATGAGTTGTAAGTATTCTTAGGGTAAAAACAAGGCAATTTATATATTTGTTTATTGTAATTTAATATTTAGTAAAACTACATAAATAGTTTATTGTATCTTATAAAGTAATTATAAACCGCTTTATAGATAAATTAGTTTTAGATAATTTATTAAGAGAAAATGACAAAAATAACCAATTATCCTAATCACTTTGCGGAAAATAGCAAAAAAAAATCGAATTTGCAAAAATGGCCACGAAAATCGCAGATGGGAATGGTCCATCTGCGATTTGCACATTCCATCTGCGAATGTACAAGTGGCTAAAGCACAAGTGTGCTTTAGCCACTTGTATATTCGTAGGTGGATTGGATTTTTTTTTCTGTATATATAGGGCATTTCAGGCTTAAAATCGCAGATGGACTGTGTCCATCTGCGATTTTCTCTGTATTCCATCTGCGAATTTACGTTTTTTTTTATTATTATTTTTTTAATTTGACTATGAAATCAATTGGTTTGACTACGAAATAATGTTACTATATATAAACTTTTGTAGAAAATTATTAGTTTAGTTGTTATTTGTTTAGGAAATTTTTCTAAAATCTCTCTAAAAAATGATTGAATATTTGGTTTGTCTTGTAACCGGTGGGAGATGGCAAGTTATTGAAACAAATCTGGAATACGTATGTCCACAGGGAGGTATTTCTGAATTCGCTTTGACATTTTCTGAGTATATTAGTTATAGTGATTTTGTATCTTTGGTGAGAAGCAAAATTGGTTTGTTAGACAAATATAGAATTAGTCTTCGTTTCCATCATCCTGAATTGAATTATTATATAGCTATAGTTGAAGACATGGATGTTAGAATGTTGATAAATGTAATCAAATGTAGTGGAGGAAGGGCTGTCAAAGTGTTTGTGGTGGTTGATGAAGGAGATGAGGTTAATAAGGCTGGTCACAGTGGAAATCAGCCGGTTGGTAATTTATGCAGCTATAAAGGGAGCAACGATCCGATAGGTA